AAAAAAAAAAAAAAAAACAAGTAAAAGAAACACTCTCCACATGACAAAATCCAGAGTCCAAGTGGTCGTACTATGACATCCACATATAAAAGTGACGCACAACTTTCAAACTGTGAATTTCCATCAATCACGAATTTCCATCAATCACCTCTACCTCTACAGCGTGTGACTTGTCGCTCACACTTTTCTTTTGAGTCCGACACATTGTCGTTCACATTTTCGAGTGCGACAAACTCTAGCACATTTTTAAAGGGTGACTCGTCACCCCCCACGCCTTTGCAGAGTGTGACTTGACACACGCCTTTCAGCATGTTCGACTTCACCACTTCACATGCAAAGCGCGCCGCCGGCCGCCGCGGTACGCCGGTCGTGTGAGTACGTATACTTTCGCCTTTAATTTTTGCCGGCTTTTGCTGGCACGCTGCCGGTCGTCGTCGGTGCAGCAGCGGCGTGCCGGCTCGCGCGCCGCGGCGTTCAGAGAGGAAAGTAGTGTACGACTGCAGTATGTTGCACCGCACCGCCGCCGCCGCGCCTGTCCTGTCACTTTCAGAGATCTCGCGCGCCGGCCGCGCCACCACCCCGGCTCAAATCAAGAGGCGTACGTACATGTAGAGCACACACCTGACATATCAGATCTCTCAGCTCTGCTATGCCGCCGTCTCACCGTCTCTCTCTCTCTCCCTCTCTCTCTCCCTCTAACGACCCCAAGTAGAAGGGCGCTACTGCAGGTCCGGGACCGTCGGCGGCCTACATCTCAGAGGTGCGAGAGAGCAGGGCCACATATGGCGCGTCGAGTCATGGGCGGGCGGGCAGCGCCAGTGCCACTGCTCTGCACTCTATCGCTTGTACTACACTGGGAGCCCATCACTCACACATCAAACAATTAAAAAAAATGTTTGCTGAGAAATCAATTACCCGTTTTTTGTTTCGGTCTCTCTTTTCTTTACCTTTCTCTCTCTCTTTCTCCCTTCCCTTGCTCATAAGCCGAAACAGTTCAACATACACACACACACATACATACATGCCGTAAGGCCCCAAAACTGTTTCCGATACGGTTTCAATAAATCATGACACGATATGTCGCGGGGCGTGGCGAGTGACATTAATATTAATACCAGAATAACCAACAATAAGATAAAAGGCCACGTCCGCCAGGCGGCGCCCCCACGGCTCTCTGCTTGGGCCCTGCTGCTGCTGGCTGGTCCGCTTTGCCGCGATAAGTGTATGTCGGCCACCACAAACTGCTAATATACCTATCTCTGCTGTGCTATATGTTCGCAGCTGGCCGTGTGGAGGATTTGTTGTGGCCACACCCACGAGCGCCACGACCACCACCACACTAGACCACCAGGTGAGGGTGATCCGGAGATTTGTGCCATGCGCTTATTGGCGAAATTACGTAGATTGCGATTCCTATAACGGTCAAAAAAACTTATGCCATACTTTTCCAGAACTCGACGTTCCATCAAGCCCTCTACTCTGCCAACGAGGTTTTAGCCACGACGGCACTCGGCGCAAGCCAAGACTGCCCTAATACGGGGAGACCACGCGCCTCCAACGCCCCGCGAACCGAGAGTAGTGACATTTCTCGTAAAACAGAAACAAGAATAAGGGCACGATGGGCATCACATCTCGCCAGCAGGGGCATGGCGAAACGAGCAATCGCCCCGGCGCTCTACTTGCAGCAGCAGGCCCCTCAATAACACACAAGTGTGTAACAAAGTGTGTGACAAAGCGTACAACATCCAACTCTATCAGGTCTATACCCCGCTTTGCGGGCGTCTATGAAAAGTAACGCACAAAAAGGTGCAGCTGCGTCACTTTACTTCAGTTTGAAACCGTAGATCTCCATAGACGTGTGGTCTTACACTCACTTGCGCTTCTCCTTATCGCGTCGAGGGTCGCCAGCCTAAGGCGCGCCCGAGGGACGCTACTCGGCCTCGCCGGCCTCACCTCCGTGGTTTTACACGAGGGAAGGCGAAGGCGAGTCGAAGGCACCAAGCGCGGGAAAATTGCGACGGTGGGGCGCCCTCTCTACCATGGGATAGGTTGGAGCCCTCAGCAGAGTGATCACCGACGCGCCTCGACCTCGTTCCGACTCACGTTCACGTTGTTGCTTTTTTTGCGGCGTAGCGAGAGAGAGAGAGAGAATAACGATATTGGTCTAGGTGAAGAGCCTCAAAAACGGGGATGGCCTTTTGTGGCTGAGTTTGTGTCTGTGCGTTTCTTTCGTTTGACGATCAAAAGTAACTATTATTATTATTTTCTATTCCGTCAGAGGAAAAATAAAAAGGGGTCCTGCACGGGTCGAGCGTGAGCAAGTAAAGCCAGGCCCGACAGGCAGCTCCCATGTGTGTGTCCCGCACGCAGCCAGGTCGCTCGCAGTGCCAGTCACGCACCTCACCGAGAAATGGAAATGTCAGATTTAAGTCTCTCTCTCTCTCTCTCTTACACACACTGCGCGCGGGCCTGACTTGCACCAAGCATTCGACGCACATCAAAGGAAGTCACGACCAGAGAAACGGGATTACGCAGAGCGAGCGACACGACGGCTGGTTGCAGGTGGGAGTTTTCCGACCAAAAAGTGTATTTTTTTAACAAAAAAAAAAAAAAAAAAAAATGTGGTGTTACTAATTTGGTGCAGAGGCCATAAATTACACGCCACATTTTAAAGTTACATACAGGAGGGACAATTGAATTATAACTAACGAGCAGTATAATCACAATCATCAAACGATTCTCTATCGCGTAATAACTATTTCTTCTATTTATTTTTTTAATTGGAAACAAAATTGCTAGCGACGACAGCTGCTGCAGGTCGAGTGCGTATGAGTACATGACGGGACGCGCGCTCGACTGGAGCCTCCAGCGAGCCCCCCATTGTTCCCCTTGACACGTGGGGGCCTCCAGCCCGGCTATCCAGCCCGGCTCAAGAGAGCCCGTTGCGGTGCGGCTCTAGTGCCGGCTCGCGACCCCGCGGTGTGACCCCTCGGGCCGGGCATCATGAGGCCTAGGCCGCTGTACACCACGTACCGCACCGGCGCAGCGCAGAGCGTGTAACTGCTCTAGAGCGGGACACGGGAAAAATGTTCAAAAACGGTTGTCGACCAGAAGTACATAAATGACTAAATTAGCGCAGCACGTTGCTGTCGCAAACGCTGCTGACGCACGCGATAAAGAAGCTCGTAAAGGTACCCTCCTCGTCCACCCCCGGCGTGCCATCTTTGAAAACACACACACACCTGTTCGGCTTTTCGCTCCCCGCGGCAGTTGGCGCGGGTGCCGTCGGCAGGAACGTCCTCCTTCCTAAACGGGGACGTAATATTCTATGGCGTAGAGTTTATTTGACTACATGACATCTTCGGGGTATATCGGTATGTTTCAACAAAATGTTTGTTTGTAGTTGGTTGCATGATTGGATGGGTTGTACCCTTTGTACAAGTACACATTTGACATTTAAATGCCTAGTTTGGTTGTGGATTTCCTCAACCAGCCATATGTGAATATATAATGATACACCCTCAGCCCTGCTTCGACCTCCTGTAGGACGGACGTTTTGCTACCTTATTTGTGGCATATTTATTGGATTCAGTTCAGCATTTATGCTGCTTTCTATTTCTTCAAATATTTCTTCATTTGGCGACTTTCTGATACCTTTAAGGTAAATTTTTCACTTAAAATACTTTCATTTTTTTAAATGGCAGAATAATTCTACATTTTCGTACCAACAGACCAGGGCCACGTCATGGTGATTCTCATGGGCATGGCAAAGATTCTAGTGAGATGTTACCGCACCCTCAGAAGTTTGGAGCGCATAGCTCTGACGAAGACTTTCATAAAGGTAAAGTCGGGTAAAGTCCGAGGGGGTTTTCACTTCTGAAATACCGTGTACACCAAATGAGGTATTTCACAGGTATTTCACGTGAAATACACTGAAATACGCCTAAATATGCTCCAAAACGGTGAACTTTTCCTGAGAAATACCGACGAAATACACGTATTACGAAATACTGTGTGCACGGAAATCTCGAGTGAAAACCCCCTCGGTAAAGTCTTAACCCTTATGCTACAAGGGCTCTTGACCTTAGTCAAATGTAGCGCTTAAAGTATGTGTCTGTTCCTTTTGCAGGCGAAGACATTGTGGCTCAGAAATTAGCTGAAAAAGTCAGAGTATTGTGTTGGATTATGACATGCCCTTCTAATCACAGGAAAAAAGCACGCCACATCAAGGCTACTTGGGGGAAAAGATGTAACATTCTCCTCTTCATGAGCACAGCTAATGGTAATAAATTTGATTGTTAGGTTTTAGATGCAGTTTCATTTTGAATGATTAGTGCCTCTTTTTAATTCCTCTCCAACTTATTAAATTTTCTTCTAACTAGTTGACTCACTGTGATTAAAAATTTCAGATACATCTCTTCCAACTGTTAATCTTGGCATCGAAGAAGGAAGAGATTACCTTTGGTCCAAAACTAAAGAATCTTTTAAATATGTTTACAAACATTACTTGGATCAAGTGGATTGGGTCTTGAAAGCAGATGATGATACGTAAGGATTGAATTGTGCCTATTTTTATTTTATTTTTAATAATGAGAAACCTTGGTTTGACATCAATTGATGTCAAACGCGGACCATGCCAGATAAAATCTTATCAATATCAAAGTTGCCATTCAATAATGTGTGTGTGCGCCCGTATTTTAATAGTTTTCCTTATCTTAACTTTTGCTGATACTTTATTCTCTCAATATCCATGAATTGTTATTCCAGGTATGTTATTGTTGAAAACCTTCGTTTCATGCTTTCTGCTTATAAGCCAACAGAGCCAGTGTATTTTGGATGCAGATTCAAGCCATTTGTTAAACAGGGTTATATGAGTGGTGGAGCAGGTATGGCCCATACTTTTTCTCAATTATCTTTTGCATTATCCAAAGCAGTACTTTTAGTAATTGTAAACACAAATGTTGTAGGATATGTGCTCAGCAGAGAAGCTGTAAAAAGATTTGTGGAGGATGGTATACCAAACAAAGAGAAATGTCGTCAAGATCATGGAGGTGCAGAGGATGTTGAAATAGGTCAGTTGTGTCTTTAAGTGCTCTTTAGACAGTAGTTTAAATATAAATACTTTTGTTGACATCTCATCACAATGAATCCATATCTAGGTATTTGTTTGGAAAGAGTTGGAGTGAAAGCAGGGGACTCACGTGATTCTGAAGGAAGGGGCAGATTCTTTCCCTTTGTTCCTGATGATCATATCACTATAGGCAAAATTGATCGAAGAAATTGGTACTGGGAGTACATATACTATCCAGTAAAGGAGGTAATTTATATTTTTACAACTTTTCCAATTTTGATTGATTAGCAAGGAACATCAGCAATGACATGATTTCACCTTATCTCTTTCAGGGCTTGGAATGTTGTTCTGATAGTGCCATATCTTTCCACTATGTGCCTCCACAACAATTGTATGTCCTTGAGTATCTTATATATCATTTAAGGCCATATGGAATCAATCATGCAGTAGATCTACCAGCACACGAGGCTGCAGAAAATTTAAGTACTGTGTCATCAGTATCATCTGCTGGTGTATGATCTTCAACTCTTTTATCATTATCACCAGTCACAGGCGAAAAATCAGTCTATCTCAGCAAGAAATGAACACATTCATAGGATAAATAGGTAAAACTTTGAACTGATATGATTAGAAGTTCTATTTGTTATCGATACTTCCACAATTGTAACAAAAAGTTATATTGTTTTACTTTTTACTGCAGCAAAAAAGCATACTTGTGTGTATCGTAAGGGCTCGAACATAAAACTCAGATGGAAAAAAAAATTGAAATTTGAAAAAAAGGTCATTTTTTGGGCATGGTTATGTACTCCTGCCAGACATCGTCGTCTCCGTCATACCGACGGACAGATGGACGTAGTATGGACAGACGGACGGTCTCGGGGCGGCCGCTTTCATGTGTCCTGCCTTTTGTCCGAGACTCCCATTATGGGACATTAATTAATTAAACAGGCGGGAAGGGGGGGAGGATAGGAAGAGGGGGTAAAGGGGTTGAGGAGAGGGAAGAGTAAGGGAGGGAAAGAGGGAGAGGGAGGGATAATAGAGCACAGAGGAGTACGGCACAATCCCTCCCGGATTGCATTGAATGGGCCGTACCCTCGGCCCTCGGCCTCGGCTCTCACACACACATGCGGCGTTCCCCGGATAGTGGACGCGTTCCATATCCGGGCATATCCGGTGTATATGGGGCCCTCGCCCTCCTCGCGCGGCCGACGGCCCCTTCTCCGCCGCCGCCCCGACAGCCCCCCACGGCTTGGCCCGGCCGAGCTGGCATGGACCCCGGTATTGAGCTGTCCGTCACGACACCAGCGGGGCGGGGCGGGG